AAAAAAAAAAAAAGAAAGAAATGCTGCTCAGTAGGATCTCATTCTACCTCAGGATACCTTCATGCTAAATACACTCACAAATCAAAGAAGACCCTTTGCCTATCTTGATTTGGAAAGTACAACTGCTGTACAAATGGTCTCAGCCCAGAGCCAAGCTTTCTGCAAAAAGAGCCCACTAACTGTAAACTGGGCATGAAGGTTACACTGGTTCTATCTCGTAAGAGGGAAAAGCAGTCAAACGAGGTGCACGTTGTTAGTTTATGAAAAAAAAAATCATGAGACATACTCAAGGGAGATCCCAGCCACAGCAAAGATTACCACTATTAAAAGGGAAACAGCAAAAGTACAGGGGAAGAGAAACCAAATCACATTCAGCAAGCCATGCAAGCGGCTGGGCACTTTCCAGTGCATACACTCACACCTACCCTGGTGGCACCCCTGAGTTAACCCTGCTTCACACATGGAGCCTATGCCCAGACCCTGCTTCCTTCCCCTCCACCACTGGCTTTCTGGACCAGGCTGCCCCCACAGTAACCTGATCCTTCTAGGCAAAGAGCCCCCACACCACCACACCTCTGCATGAGAATCACATAGTCCTGAGAAAAGAGATTTTGGAATGCTTGCCTGTAGCAAAAGTGTATTAATAAAGGAAAAGGAAAACTCCAGTCAATACCTCTGTGTCATCTACTTCGTTTTCTTCAGAAAGGCTGGGTATCTCAATTAATCCCTTGTGCTTTGCACCAGATTCTTTCATTGTACCTAAAAATGAACAAAATGATTCTACCATTAAAAAGAATACTAAGCTGGGTTTGTGCAAAACCACCCTGCCTGAACAGCCCACACAAGGATCCCCCCTCTGTCACAGGGCTGTAGGAAGCAGTCAAGACAGGGACAGGACTGGCCGATGCAGTACAGCAAATCCTGCTGGCAAACTTGAGCCCATCAGGAATCCATGTGTTTCTTGTCTCAGGGTCAAGGCCAGATGAGGAGCCATCTTGAAGAGAAAGGGGGATGGGAGGACAGAAAGCCCAGGTCCTGGAAAGCGCAAGCAGGGCAGCCTGTGCCACAGGGAACTTAGGTGGTTAACTCCAAGCACCTGGATTTCTCCCAAGACAATGGCCCAGCACCCAGGAGAGTGACTGCCAGCAGACAGCACAGGCCAGGCAGGCCGCGCCTGGGTCTTTTTTGCTTTGTTTTGATTTACTTTGACATCAGTCTATCATACCAATCTGGAATAAAAGACTTAGTGCAGTCAAGTTCAAAATGAGTATCAGGCTCATGGGCCAAGCAACTAGAGCATCATTCAGAAATCAACAGAAAACACACTGGGACACCTCTCTACCACCACACATGCAGGAAAGAGTTAAGATCCCCAGTAGGAAGTGTCTTGCCCCTGCCCAGAGGTCAAGGAGCCCCCAGGCTGATTTTTTTTTTAAGTTAATTTTACCCAGGCTGATTTTCTAATGACATCAGAAATTGTGTGAGACAATTTCAGCGGCCTTTTTGGGGGGGAAAGGGGTATAAATGCCATACATAATTTAATTCAAAGTTGATACCAATCTTCTGGAGCTAGCTCCTCTAGGGTTAAGAAAAAAAAAACTTTAGGGCTGGTGAAATGGCTCAGTGGTCTAAAGCACCTACTTAGAACAAGCTAAGCTCAAGCAAAGCACAGAGACCTCGGTTCAATCCCCCAGCACCACATGCCGGCCCGCCTGCCCCCTGGTGGGCTGAGCTGGCCACACACTAAATAAATAAGTAAATAAATAAATAAATAAATATTAAAAAAAAAAACTTAAAACCAGGTTTACAGGTTACATTTATCTTCCACTAGAACCATCCACACTGCCCACAGAAAGAGTAGGCTGGGCCCCAGTCACAAATACAGGTCCCTGGCTTCTCCTCATGGATCAGGTATTGGCATGATTCCCACCTTCTCCTCCTTAGTAACTGAAACACTAGCAAAAGCCCCCAAGTGAGGGACTCTCAGCTCTCCAGCATAGAAGGAGTCTCCCTCAGCTCCAGCTGAGAGCCCTCTACTACTCTGCCAGACTTCTCTGAAGGGAGTAGAGAGAGGAGACAAAACGCTAAAATGAAAAGGGAGGAACCAGTTCTCATCTGCACGTACAACCCGAGATACCTACAGATGTGGTGAGCATGGTGTCGAAGCATAGGAAGCATGAGGTGGCGAGGAGGGGGATGGAAGGGAGGTGTCCCCAGGACAGTGCCCAGCCTGCTTTCCTTCCTGGCCTTGTCTTGGACACCCAGAGCTCCCACAGCTTTAGGGCCCAGTCTTATCTCTTCATTCTCCAGAACTGGATGGCTTGACAGGCCTCAAGTTCTTGTTCAAGTCAAAACAACAAAAATACTAACTGGTGGGGGGCTCTGTGATGGCCTCTTCGGAGACCTCCCCACCCCCACCCCAGGTGTCTGACCATTCTCTGCAGGGTACTGCCCTGGGCCATTTCCTTCTGGATCTGGGCAGCAGGATGGCCAGGCACGGTGGAACACGCCTGTAACCCCAGCACTGAGGATGGAGGATCACTGTGAGTTCAAGGCCAGCCTGGGCTACATAGTGAGTTCAAGGCCATGAACTACATAATAAGCATGTGCACCCCCACACACATCTGCATCAGAAAACAAAAAACCAAAGGGCAAGATGGGTCTTATCTTGCAAGGAAGCTCACTATTGCTTTGAGCCAAGGAAGGCCAGAGACAGACAGCACAAGAGGTTTCTCAGGGCCACAGAGCCCTGTCCAGGTGGAGAGAGCAGAGTGCCAGACAGCCAGACACCTGCTACAGTGTAGCCAGCAGCAGGGAAGAGGGAGCAAAGCTGCACACCTTCCAGGCTGGGGGTGCCATTGCCAGGCAGCGGGTGGAAAGCTTCGGGGGCCTGCTGAATTCCTGCCCCAGCTCTGTCAGGCTTCTACTACAAGGGCAGCGCAAGTGTAGAGGCCAAGGCCAGCTTACCGGCTGTTCTCTAACAGACTCTCCAGAAAGATGCTGTCTGTCCCTTACAGCTGCTCAACCTCCCACAACCTCTCCCACCTCCTTGTCTTCCTTGCCCCGTGTCCCTGAGTCCTTAGTTACTACTACAAGTATCTACTAGGCATATACTGACTTCCTAGCCAGGACCTAGGTAGGTACCACTGGAGAACTCGGCCAAAAGACTCCGGGAGTAAAAGTAGCAGAAATGCCTATTAACTGATGAATGGAGAAACAAAATACAGCACATCTGCACAACAGACTATTAATCAGCCATAAGAAATGAAGAAAACACTGATACAAGGTAAACACAGATGAACCCTGGAAAACATGCAGGGAAAGAAGCCAGCCCCCCACACACACACACACCACATACTGTTCTGTGCAAACCCACCTATGCCACCCATCCTAGGTTAAGTCCACAGGGACAAAATGCAGTTTCATGGCCGCGGGAGGTCTAGGGAAGTGGGAAACCAGGAGCAACTGCTGAAGACAGAGTAGGGTGACAAGAGACATTCTACACTGCCTCTGAGCACAGGAGGTAGTGCATCAGTCTCATAATCTGAAGAAATATTCTAAAACTGATTGTGGCTGTACAACTCTGGGTGAATAAGGTGAATAAGGTATATGAACTGTAGCTCAGCAATGCTATTTTAAAAAAAAAAAAAATCCTACCTTGATGAATGAGTGAGAAAGGGAGGAGGACAAGGGCAGTAAAAAAAAAAAAAAAAGTCTTTAGAAAGATTACACACAGTATCAAGTACCAGTGCCCTGGGTCAGAAGGGAAGCTCAGGAAAGGGGAGGGCACGAAGAAAGGTCTGCAGTTAGCCACACGATGGAAGAGACAGCTTCACTCAGGTTAGGAACAGGAGGAGGAAGCCAGAGGGTGCACCTGTAGTCTCACATTTAGTAGGCTGAGAGGCAGGGGGATCACTGAGTTCAAGGCCAGCCTGGGCCACACAGAAAATTCATGGCCAACCTGAGTTGCACACAAAGGCCCTGCGGAAGCAAAAGCAAGCAGCAGAGCAGCGAGAAAGGAGAGCTCCCAGAACCAAGGCCAAGCGCCCTGAGGGTCGGGAACTCGGCTGGCTCCACGACCTGCGGCCAGGGGCGCCGCGCCCACGGCAGGAGTCACAGGAACTGACTGCCCCGCGGCCCGGCCTCACCAGTCCGTTACCTTTCCAGCCCAGCTTGATGTTCCACTCATAGAAGAAAATCAGCTTTCCTCTGCGGCTGCTGCAAGAAGCCTCACCTTCCACCCGCTTCAGCTCACTGGTCTCACAGCGGCCGGCCTCATTCTCCACCACGATGCCCACCAAGACCTCTTGGAGCTTCGCCTTGGACCAGCTCGTGGCATCCCGCTCTGTCCTGCCAGAGACCAGAAGGGCACGGCGGTCGCTGGCAGCCCCGGGCAGGACGTCAGCCCGGGTCCTCTCACCACCGCACCTACAAACGCGCTCCACAGCCACCCCTCACCAACGCCTGCTCCGTTCCTTAAGACTTTGGTACCACCGCGTAAAGTCAGGTTTTGACTAAAAGCCCTGGCGTACTAGGTGAAGGAAGGTGCACCTTTAGAAAGGACGGAAAACGCCCAGACCATACTTAATGGTAGTAATGATGAAAATAATGTACCCAAAGGCAACTGTCAAGTGTTTCTACCTATGCAAAAACCACGCAACCTTCCCAAGTACTGGACTACTGCATTCCTGTCGGGGGTCAACACCAGACAAAACGGGCTGCGAAACAGACCCAGGACACTCGGCCAAGTCACGGTGCCGTCCCCACAGGCCGGGTGCCCGGGCCCCGAGGCTCCGCGCACTCCTGAGGCCCTGGGGCGCGATGCGAACATCGCCCCTCGCTCCGGACGAGATGCTAACCGCGCGGGCAAGGAGCCCAACTGGGGAAGTAAGGGCTGGCGGGGCCCTCGCGTTAGGGACGGGGGGGGGGGACCCGCGTTCCCGCTCTTCCCGCTGCGCCTAGAGGCCCCCGCCCGCCCCTCCGGCCCGGCTTTATCTCCCGGAGATGGCTCGGGGACGGGGGTTCGCGTCCGGGCCGGGCCCTCCCGCCCGCGGCTGGGAGCCCCAAAGCTAGCAGCCGCCCGCGGCCCCGCCCAGCTCCCGAGCCC